CGGTGAATTCTAAGGAAAACCTGTCGAGGCAGTCAGCTTACATGCTAACTGGTGGATGCCACATGCCTCTGTAAGTTGGATGGGTAAATTCGAATGTGAAAAAGGATTTACTTTTGTTACTACAGAAAATGAGCATCGACGGAAGGACGGTTCCTTTAATTTTCCTACCTGACTGGGAATTTGGACGACCTGTTCCAAGTGAGGTGTTTTTGTATGCACGTCAACCTATAGATACCTACAGCGTTGATCGAAATTAACAACTCTTTTCGTCCCCGAATTGTCATGTGGATATATAACACCAGTAGAAACTATGGCAATAGGAAATCTCCTACGAGGAGATGAAGCTCAATATTGTTTTTATTTATTGCTGGAATGTTGATCAGTGGAACATGTGCGTAAAACTGAAAGTCGTTTTTCTTTAAACGACAATATGGCCAGTTGAGAGAAAAAGAACCTCGCATCTCTCACTTTGCTCATGGTGTCTAGGCAAAACTGGGTGAATTTATGAACTAGAGCAACGATATATAGAGAGAAAGAAGAATCGGTAGGTTGAAAAAGATTTATCAAATAAAAACTACTAATGAGCATATGGTATCATGTTTATTTCAGGGAAATCCAAAGAAAGTAGCTTGAAATGACAGTCCTTCAGAGTTAACCTTCACGCAACATCCTCGGTACCACCATTTAACATTGTTAGAGCTCATCAGTAGTGCATATCTAACAAGAAAGAAGTTCGAGTAGTGATTTTTCAGGGTATGGTCGACTGGATGAACCAGGGATTATGTGCCCAAATGAAGTCTGATGGTTACTTGATCAAGCTAACACCATTTATCTCACACCAATGCTCACCAGTAATTGTATGTTGAAAAAGGAATAATACAGTCTATGGCTCTGCGTAAAGGGTGACTTTGTTAATGAGTGTTTGTAAATAGTAGAAAAGGACCACAATAGTAATGATATGTGCACCATATTATGTGGATATCCTTTTGTCAAAAATTATCATTTTCCTACCAGGAAATCTTACGGCCTCCTATCGAGAGTACCCTCATTTTAACAAATGATGCGTGGCGGCAGAGGTGAACGATTTGTTCGGGTGAAGATAGCTGGACAATCTGAGAAACCCAATGAAATGGGCAGAAATTAGACATTTCATACACCTGGTCCTCTTGTGCTAGTTCACTTTATCTGACAGAACGTATTTCACCTCGTGATGTGAATTCCTATTTATTGAACGCAGTAGTCACGTGTGGAAGCAAGATTTTACGTTGCAATATCAATTCTGCTCGTATTGTTACTTTTTTTATTCAAAGACAGAGTGTCGTTCACTTTACCATTGACTTTCGTAAAAATGGGAAACAGAAGCTTATTATCCACATATACCTAGAAACTTTGAACTGGTAAACCATGAGTTTTATCTTCTACTTACATAACCGATGAAATAAATGACGTGTCACTTACTAGGATCCCATTCACCGAGTGTAGGATCTTCCCAGGTAACACCAGCAGCCACACGGATATACCGCTTCTTTTTTTTCCAAGATTGTTGTTGCTGCTGTTGTTGCTGATGCTGTTGTTGTTGTAGATGCTGTTGTATCTGCTGTTGATAAAACTGTTGCACTTGTGCCGTTTGTTGTTGCAACTGCTGCGTCTGTTGCGTTTGCTGTTGCTGTTGTGTCCGTTGTGTGGCGGTGGCTGTCGCAGCAGTTGACGCATTCTGAGCCGTTTGTGACGACTTGGTTGATTGAGGATCCGCGGAAGTCTGTGCGTTCACCAGATTGAGTGGTGGTTTTGTGATGCTGGCTCGAACTTGTTCTATCAAAGCGGAAATACAAAACAAAAAGTAGAAGACTGTAGGGTTTGGCACAGAAAAATTGTAAACCCACAGAGATTCAGATTAACGTATCTTTATAAAAACAAACAATCAATATATATATATATATATATA